ACACACACACAGCACCTACACACAGCACACACAGCCCACAAACAGCACCCACACACATACATCACCCTCGCACACACAGCACCCACACACACCCAGCACACTAACAGCATCCTCACAAACACACAAAACCCACACACAACACCCGCACAGCACCCACAAACAGCACACACACACAAACAGCACCCTGACAAACACACAACACCCACACACAGCACACAAACAGCACACTAACAGGACCCGAACAAACACGCACACACAAACACTCTCTCACACATACACACACACACACACAGCACACTACCAGTTCCCTCACACACAGCACACACACAGCACCCTCACACACAGCACACTAACAGCACTCTCACAAACACACACAAAAACACCGTCACCCACATAGCACACTACCAGCACCCTCACACACAGCAGTGTGTGTGTGTGTGTGTGTGTGTGTGTATATATATATATATATATATATATATATATATATATATATATATATATATATATATATATATACACATATATACATATACATACACATGGCGTGTGTTTGTGCTTTAGGCTGCACACCCTAATGCAATAGGCTATCTCCCCCCCATCTATAGGCTATCTCAAACCCTCCCCCATCCCTCACTTACCTGATCTGTAGGCTGTCTCTGGCTGCATGTGTTGTTCCCCTGCGGTTTCAATCAGCAGAGAAGCAGGGATAAGATGCAGCTTCCTATCCCTGTCTCTCTCCATACACAGCGCCATCTACTGGCCGGCACCGGTATTGCAGTTCATTTTAAATCTCACACGAAAAAAGCAGCACAAGCTGAAAAATCCAGGGGGGGGCAAGTGCCCCCCCTTGCCCCCCCCTGCGGACGCCCATGCCTCCATCCCAGCCTCAAATCACGCACAGAGTGGTACAGGTTTTGCTCAAGAATATCCCTGTATTTAGCACCATCATCTTTCCCTCAACTCTGACCAGTTTCCCAGTCCCGGCTGCTGAAAAACATCCCCACAGCATGTTGCTGCCACCACCATGTTTCACTGTGGGGATGGTGTTCTTTGGGTGATGTGATGTGTTGGGTTTGCGCAGGACAAAAAAAAACTTTTTGACCAGAGCACCTTCCTCCATACATTTTGGGAGTATCCCAAATGCCTTTTCGCAAACTCAAAATGTGCCATTTTGTTTTTTGCTGAAAGTAATGGCTTTGTTCTGGCCACTCTGCCATAAAGCCCAACTCTATGGAGTGTACGGCTTATTGTCGTCATATATACTGATGCTGTGGAACTCTGCAGCTCCTCCAGGGTTACCTTAGGTTTCTGTGCTGCCTCTCTGATTAATGCCCTCCTTGCCCATTCCGTGAGTTTTGTTGGACAGCCGTCTCTTGGCAGGTTTGCTGTTGTGCCATGTTCTTTCCATTTGGTTATGATAGATTTGATGGTGCTCCTGGGGATCATCAATGATTTGGATATTTTTTTATAACCTAACCCTGACTTGTACTTCTCAACAACATTGTCCCTTACTTGTTTGGAGAGTTCCTTGGTCTTCATGGCAGTGTTTGGTTAGTGTTTGGTTAGTGGTGCCTCTTGCTTAGGTGTTGCAGCCTTTCAAAAAAGGTGTGTATATGTATTGACAGATCATGTGACACTCAGATTGCACACAGGTGGACATCATTTCACTAATTATGTGACCTCTGAAGGTAATTGGCTGCACCAGAGCTTTTTATGGGCTTCATAACAAAGGGGGTGAATACATACGCTCATGCCAATTTTCTGTTTTCTATTTCTAAAAAATAGTTTTCTGTATATATTTTTCTCATTTCACTTCACCAACTTAGACTATTGTGTTCTGATCCATCACATAAAATTCAGATTAATAAAACATTGAACTTAAGGTCGTAATGTAACAGAATAGGTAAAAAGTCAAGGGTGGTGAATAGTGCAAGGCACTGTAATTACAGCTTAGTGTATTATTACAGTTCATTATATTATTACAGCGTATTGTATTATTAAAGCTCAGTGATGGTCACCCTGAGTATCTACCGCCAGAGAAGTCCTTTCCACCTAGTCTGAGTAGAGCTGCAGTATTCTCAAGTTGATATCCCAGCAGACCAAGTATCCAACATAGCTGTAGAGCTCTTATAAGAGCTAGTGGTTATAGACACAAGGCTACGTGTTGAGGGTTAAGTGAACTGGTTTAATGGTAGCCACACTGTCTTTTTATGCAAGGGTGACACCCACATGGACCTTGTGGGGGGCTATAGTACAGAATTATAAACCAATAATAACAGGGTTATACAGTGTGACACTTCCATACAGAACATACAATCCCTCCCATCTGTCTGGGAGATAATTGAGTCAATTACTGTATCAACTCAATTATCTCCAGGCTAAAAAGAACATAATTTATAGACATTCTGAAAATACCCCAAAACCACATATGAACCCCATGAAAAGTATATCCCCTGATAGCCCGATCTGGGTGAACAACATATCCAAAAATCACCCAGATCGGTTCAGGGGTTTCGGGATTCGTATAGTTCCATAGAATCAGGCTGTGCGGCCGGTCTCTTTCGTGGGCGTCAAATATGATGAAATGTCTCAAATAACCATTCGTGGGAAACCTAGCCGTGTGCCCCTTGTTCGGGAGTTGGTTTTCACCTAACGCCGCCTCTTTCAGATGATATGGAACTAAACTAGGTGATCCTGGAAGTCTCAGCGGTGTTCAGGCTGTTGAGTGTCCGAAAATAGTTCCATACACTCGGCGACCAAATACTGCTGGACGCGTTCGACAAAACAAGATGTCCGCAGCCTTGTGTTCGAGCATACGAATCGACAGCCACCCAGTGAACCACTTCGAACGTTCAGAGTTGCGGTTAGAACAAGTGTCAGTAAGGTGAATTGGGTCAATTGGTAGCACACGACTGCTTTGGGTGGTCCAAGGGTTCAGTATATTATTTGGTATACGAACCAGCCAGGGCAAAATCTGTTCGGTTCGTATATCAATCCAGACAAAAATAGAAGTAATATCAAAGAACAATGCATCTGTTACAAGCTCATTGTATTATTACAGCTTATTGTATTATTACAGCTCAGTGTATTATTACAGCAATTAAATTATTAAAGCACATTGTATTATTACAGCTCATTGTATTATTACAGTAATTTTCATTTACAGCTTATTGTTTTATACCAGCTCATTATATTATTAAAGCTCATTGTATTATTACAGCTTATTGTATTATTGCAGCTTATTGTATTTTTACAGATCATTGTATTTGTAACGGATCACCTGGCACCCCGACTGGGTACCTCCGTTGATGGATGCTCCTAGCGCTTCTTGAGGGCTCCAAGCACTCTAGTCAACACCACAACCACCGCAGGCAAAACCTCTCTTCCTTCCGAGCGAAGCAGGAACAAGCTCTTAAAGAGCTTAGGAGTGATTATAGCAAGGGAATATGCAGAGCACAGCAAGCCCTTGCAGCAATTCCTTCCCCCCAATAAGAGACAGGACTCCAAATTGAGGGTTAAGTAGAACTGTCTAAAATTTTATTTTACTTGGGACTAGCCCATATGGTCATTACATTAACATTGCTGTGAAAACTCAATAAACTTACAAACAGTCAAATCATAGCAGGCAACATACAGTGACTTATTATAATACAATTACAGATTTATAAATGGGTGGGGAAGACCATAATTAACCCGAAATGTCTCTCCTGCATTCAGAATTAGCGATATGCAAATCTATCCGAATATGCAAATTACCAGTCTTGCTATTCAGGTAGTGCATTTTGCTGTTGCTACCAACAGACGGCACTACACAAGCTCCATGGCCAAATCCACCTAGTTGGTAGCAATCCTCAGCAGTACAGGAGAGCAGGCAATACATCCCAGGGTTCATAGTCACATGGCAGGAGGCTGGCAATCAGTCTTCTCCAATGCCCAGTGGCAAGGCTGGTTCCGCCACAGTTCTATTACATCATATTGCATTATTACAGTAATTTTAATTTACAGCGTATTATTTTATGACAGCTCAGTGTATTATTACATCTCATTATATTATTACAGCTTATTGTATTATTGCAGGTTATTGTATCATTAAAGCTTACTGTGTTGATTACATTGTTAGGAGTCTTTGAGAGCGGACCCTTCAGTTTTTGTCAATCGGTTTTGGGGAGTATCAGCTGTCTAGGAACTGTTCAAATTATGGATGACAGTGATCTCTTACATTGCATGGACAATATGGGCCAGTTCCAGTCTGTACTGCCCATTAACAAATTTACAACCTTTACCCCAATAACTGCCTCCAAACCCTGGCACTATAAACATGTGAGAGAAGATTCCTGTACCCCTACTCTCGATTTGCTTCATTTGTCCCAACCGCGCAGGTATCGTCCCCGTGCACAAAACGTATAATAATTTATAATATTATATCATGTTTAGAGAGGATTTACCACACCGGCATTGCACAGGGGTCAAAACCAGGACTGTTCTTTCAGATCTGGGACACTTGGAAGTATGATCACAGCACTTCCAAATTCAAAATAAAAAATATTTCCATAAATGTCAGTCAGTGTTAATTTCAGGGATAGAAGGAACGTGTTCTGAAAGCTGAAGGCCGATCACAGACAGTTTTCAATTGGTTACAGCAATGTTAACTTAACCTTGTTCAAATATTTTCCTACCAATCACAAACGTAGGTTTTAACGTCAGCTGTAAGCTTTAAACACCTGAAAACCACACACAGCGTGAGCATGCACTAAATACTATGAACAATATTCAGAATGTCTGCGTTCAATTACACTGACGAGAGTTCAACTTGCTCAAAATCAGTTACATTTTAAATAAACAACATAACAGCGATTTGAGAAAGACGCTCCTGGAAGGACGGATGGTTTGAGGGAGAGAGAGATAAATGGAGAGATGGAAAGACGGATAGAAGGTGGGATAAATGGACATATGGATTGATGGATGAATGGAGAGAGAGATAGATGGAGAGATTCCTCTGCAGCCCTTCTTCCAGGCAGGTATCGTCCCCTCTGCCTATTCCTCTGCAGCTCTCCTTCCAGGCAGGTATCGTCCCCTCTGCCTATTCCTCTGCAGCTCTCCTTCCAGGCAGGTATCTTCCCCTCTGCCTATTCCTCTGCAGCTATCCTTCCAGGCAGGTATCGTCCCCTCTGCCTATTCCTCTGCAGCTCTGCCTATTCCTCTGCAGCTTTCCTTCCAGTCAGATATTGTCCCCTCTGCCTATTCCTCTGCAGCTCTCCTTCCAGGCAGGTATTGTCTCCTCTGCCTATTCCTCCGCAGCTCTCCTTCCAGGCAGGTGTCGTCCCCTCTGCCTATTCCTCTGCAGCTCTCCTTCCAGTCAGATATCGTCCCCTCTGCTTATTCCTCTGCAGCCCTTCTTCCAGTCAGATATCGTCCCCTCTGCTTATTCCTCTGCAGCCCTTCTTCCAGTCAGATATCGTCCCCTCTGCCTATTCCTTTGCGCTTTCCTTAGAGGCAGGTATCGTCCCCTCTGCCTATTCCTTTGCGCTTTCCTTCCAGGCAGGTATCGTCCCCTCTGCCTATTCCTTTGCGCTTTCCTTACAGGCAGTTATGCACCACTTGCTGCTCTCAGATCTAGCTCTCTATGATTTACCCCAGAGCTAGAGCAAATATGCAACCAGCCAACAGGTACGACAACTCTGTTATTCGGATCCATAAAAATCCTCACAGGACACAAAATTTCAAAAGGAACTTACATACACAGCTTTATTTTTACTTGGGACTAGTCCACAAACTTATTACAACAAGCTTGCTGTGACAAACTTATTAAAATACAAATAACCAAAACATGTCAGAAAACATGCAGGGAATTATAATAACACATTAATAAAGGGGCGGGGAAGACAATATTTACCCTCCTGCCTGCATAATTCAAAATGTGCAAATCTACCTGAATATGCAAATTAACAAGCCTTGCTATTCAGGTAGTGCATATAGCTGTTGCTACCAACAGAGAGCGTTGTAAAGGCTCCACAGTCAAATCAACGTGGTTGGTAGCAAACATCCGCAGGATGAGATGACAGGATGACAGGAGAGCACACAAAACCTTTAACAACAAACAAATATGCCATGCGCACCCAGCACCTATAATGGGCACAGGGTGACTAAAACATAAGAACAATTCAAGAACCTTTGACGACCGTCACACTCCATATTACTGTCCTGTCACAGGTAACGTACTACCTGCTGTGCCTCCCCGTGAAAGCAGTTCATTGCTGATCATTTCTGATCGCCCGAGCCTTCCTAACCAGATGTTACATATGTTCTCTATTCTACTTACAACATTCCCAGGGTTTTGGGTGGGAAGTAGAAATGGTTTTGGACTGAGCAGGTTGCAAACAGCCAGCAAGCCAGACTAAACCAGAGCCTAAAGCATACCAAAGAGCTGAGGTGAGTTTGAAGTGTACCCAGAGTGTATGATCACACTGATAATTCCCTTCAAAGAGAATCCTTCATGTGCCTTGCAGTGGGACGGAGACTGAGTTTAATCATGGATTCTGCACTTCAGCGTGAGCGGAATACCTCAATAAGACTTCCCGTGCAATGGTCTATGTACCACGTGTAGACAGACAGATATACAGACCTACAACTCACTGCACGAGGCACAAATATTAGCCTGTCCTAAGTAAACGGGAAATAAAACCTTGTTTATACATAGCACACGCTCAATCGGCTTGAAGACAGATTTGTGTAAGTCTAAATATAAGATATTAAGAGCTGGTGAAGAATGTGCAGTGTGGTGCGTTCTCTGTGATAAATGTGCAGTAAAGGTATTTTTTTATTAACTTCTCGAGGTCCAGGGAAACAGTCAGACTCCGTCTCTGTGAATTGGGGATTAGGGCTGCATTTCTTATAAAACACTTTGCTGGTCACTTCCTGCGCAGATTTCACAGGTTATATCCCTCCGTAAATGTGGTGAAAAAAATCAAATACATTGCTTGCTTTGAGGGGGTGTGGAGCTGGTGGTAGAACCCTGTGACTGACCCTGTTCTCTCGCCCTGTGACTGACCCTGTTCTCTAGCCCTGTGACTGGTCCTGTTCTCTCACCCTATGGTTGGTCCTGTCCTGTTCTCTTACCATATGGCTGGTCCTGTCCTGTTCTCTCACCCTTATGGCTGGTCTTGTCCTGTTCTCTTGCCATGTGACTGACCCTGTTCTCTCGCCCTGTGACTGGTCCTGTTCTCGCGCCCTGTGACTGGTCTTGTTCTCTCGCCCTATGGCTGGTCCTGTTCTCGCGCTCTGTGACTGGTTTTGCCCTGTTCTCTCACCCTGTGACTGGTTGTGACGAAGTGCCCTTCGCCACTTGTTCTTGGAGAGGCCTGCTTGCCAGCCTCTTGCCTTGTGACTATGGCCCCTGGGAGGTATTGCCTCTATTTAGGGTTATTGTATTTTGGAGACTGTTTCTAGCCCTTTAATTTGTACTGTTACAGTTCTGCACTTTTGAAGTGGCACTTTGGATGCAGCCGAAGTGCTGAAGTAGTCGAAGGGACTGTCGTTTGTGCATACGAACACGTGGCAGTGGCCATTTTAATTTAGCTGAACGCAGTCAGCGTTTTTTGGCCGTCGAGTTCATGGACCTAAAATCAAATACACGACTGCAGGAACACCGCTGAACTTTTACCTTCTCTGTGACTTCGACACTTCATCAGTAGTCGAACGGTGTTCGACAATACGAACGTCACATTGACATTGCCTAGGCCGTTCGTTTATTTGAACAGTATTTGACTATGGTGAATAGACCGGCTGCACAGCCCAAAATCTGTGGAACTGTTTTGGGCAGGAAAACCATGCTTGCGGTCGTTCAAATGTGACTTCCAGCTATCTCCCGAACCACTGGACTAATTCGCATGATTTTTGGATATGTTGGTTCCCTAATTATGCTGGTCCAGAAAATGTTTATTGAAATTGCATGTATAGTTTGGAAGTTATGAAAAATGTGTAAAAAGTATATTTTTCGCTTGGAGATAATTGAGTTGATACAGCAATTAACTCAATTATCTCCCAAGCAGAGGGGAGCAATTTACTGTAATGAATGGGAGTGTTTATCTGTGTGACTGTAAACTATTGGTTGTTGAGTTTGTGTTTTCAGTGCCCAACAAGGTCCACATGGGTGGTAACCTTGTTGGAAAAAGTGTATAAAAGAAACAATAAAGCCTCAGTGCATTCTGTTCCTGCTTAACCCTCAATCTAGAGTCTTGTCTCTTATTGGGGAATTGCTATATCACTACAAGGGATTGCTATGAGCTTCATTCTCCCTTGGATAATCACTACTAAGCTCTTATAAGAGCTTGTTCCTGCTTCGCTCTCTTGGAAGAGAGGTCCACCCACTGGAACCTGGAGCCTTTTGATAGGTCCAGGGTGGGTAGGAAACGGCGAGACCCCCGCCAAGCTGCGGCGATTTGTGGGGTCTGCGGTGGTTATGGTGTCTGGTGGAGTGCTTGGAGCCCTCGGGAAGCACTAGGAGCATCCATCAACGGAGGTGTCCAGTCGGGGTGCCAGGTGGTCCGTTACACTGGTCCTGTTCTCTCGCCCTATGGCTGGTCCAGTTCTCTCGCTCTGTGACTGGTCCTGTTCTGTTCTCTCACCCTGTGACTGACCCTGTTCTCTCACCCTATGGCTGGTCCTGTTCTCTTGCCCTATGGCTGGTCCCGTTCTCTCGCCCTGTACTGGTCCTGTCCTGTTCTTTCACCCTGTGACTGATCCTGTTCTCTCACCTTATGGCTGGTCCAGTTCTCTCACCCTGCGACTGGTCCTGTTCTCCTGCCCTGTGACTGGTCCTGTCCTGTTCTTTCACCCTGTGACTGGTCCTGTTCTCTCACCTTATGGCTGGTCCAGTTCTCTCACCCTGTGACTTGCCCTGTCCTGTTCTCTCACCCTGTGACTGGTCCTGTCCTGTTCTCTCATCCTGTGACTGGTTCTGTTCTCTTGCCCTACGGCTGGTCCTGTTCTCTTGCCTTGTCTATATTGAGAGCATTTATTTAGCGGTAATAACACAATATATAAAGATACAATCCCAAGTTAGTCCAATAAGCCAACCTAATATAACAATTTCTATATATATCACCACCCTTAACATTTAGAGCTCAACCCCGGGTAATGCGTAACTGGTCTCTGTCTCTCAACAGACCGTACACAAAGGTTAATCCTCCAAGCCGCAGGTCACGAGCCCCCTGCTAAATAGAATGCTCACCAAGGCGGATGGCATGTAAGAGAGCTAGTTCCTGCTTTGTCTTAAAATTTATAGGCTAGAGAAGTGCGGTGCAATTTGCATCATCATACCCTGACCGCTCCCACCCACCACCTCACTTCCTGACCACTCCCAGCCACTACATCACTTTCTGACAACTCCTACTCCCACCTCCTGACCACTCCCAGCCACCACCTTGGTTCCTGACCACTCCCACCTACCGCCACACTTAACGACCACTCCCAGCCACCACCTCACGTCCTGACCACTCCGACTCCCACCTCCTGACCACTCCCAGCCACCAACTCACTTCCTGACCACTCCCAGCCACCACCTCGGTTCCTGACCACTCCCACCCACCGCCTTACTTAACGACCACTCCCAGCCACCACCCCATGTCCTGACACCTCACACCTCACTTCCTGACCACTCCCAGCCACCACCTCGCTTCCTGACCACTGCCAGCCACCACCTCACTTCCTGACCACTCCCACCCACTACCTTACTTCCTGACCACTCTCACCCACCAGCTCATTCACTGACCACTCCCAGCCACCACCTCACTTCATGACCACTCCCAGCCACCACCTCACTTCCTGACCACTGCCACCCACTACCTTACTTCCTGACCACTCTCACCCACCAGCTCATTACCTGACCACTCACACCTCATTTCCTGACCACTCACACCTCACTTCCTGACCACTCCTAGCCACCACCTCGCTTCTTGACCACTGCCAGCCACCACCTCACTTCCTGACCACTCCCACCCACCACCTCACTTCATGACCACTCCCAGCCACCACCTCACATCCTGACCACTCTCAGCCAACACCTCACTTCATGACCACTTCCAGCCACCACCTCACTTCCTGACCATTCCCACCCACCACCTCATTTCCTGACCACTCTCACACACTACCTAATTTCCTACCTCCCTTCTAGCCAGCCATATCACACACTATGTGGTCATTATTTTTGCAAGGAATGAAATGGGGGAAGGGATGTACAGCATTGCTGCCAGAAATTTGGTGAGAAAGGGATGAAAGACCCACAACCGCTAGCTAACCCGTTCCTAGCTGACATGCTGTCCAGCTAATTTACCCCAAGATAACCGACCCCCAGCTAACACACCCCAACTAACCTGCCCCTAGATAATCAACATCCAGCTAACACTCCCCCAACTAACCCGCTCGTGTTAGATCTCTCCTATATGCCCGGAGTATCACTGCCAAGGATTGCCTTTCTCCCTTAGTGAAAGCCCCCAGAGTGATTATTACTCCCCCTATTCATCAGCCGAGGCTTGATGTAAGGGTAAACACCAACACTTTATTGCACGATTGTCACCTTTATTTACACAGGTTCACAACAGGGGGTCACCAACAAACAATAGAATTGCACAATCCTCAAACTGGTGTCACCCCCGGATAGCTCTTCCCTAGGAATGTACTCATTCCAAAAAGCGCTCAGATTGGAGATGCCTAGCCCTAATAGTCAGAAAGATAATGTGACGAAAACAACTTCGCCACTGGTTTTTGGAGAAGACTAATGGCCAGCCTTTTACCCTGTGACTTATTTAGTTCCAAGGCACTGTTTCTGCCTCTTTTAGTTCTATTGGAACAGATTTACACTTTCGAAGTGGCACTTTGGATATAGCTGAAGTGTCGAAGTAGTTGAAGTGGCCGCCATTCGACATATGAACACATGGCGGCTAAGTTTTCAGCAGTGTTTTGTCGTAGAGTTCATGGAACTCAAATTGGACACGTGACGGCACAAACACTGCTGAAAACTTACCTTCTCTGGGACTTCCACTCTTCAAAAGGAGTCGAACGGTGTTCGACAATTCGAATGGCGTTTTAACTTTTACTTTGTGCACGAACGGTCCCCGTTCGACTATTTGAAGTGAACGTATTCACTGGAAATAGACCGGCCGCACAGCCCAATTCTCTGAAACTGTTTTGGGCATTAAATCATGCGTGTGGTCGGTCAAAAGAGACTTCCAGGAATTTCCTGAATCCCTGCTCTGATCTGGGTGATTTCAGGGCTATCAGGGGATGTAACATTTATGGGGATATGTTATGTTTTGGGATGTTTTCTGTACTTTGTGGAAAATGTGTGTTTTTCTGCCGGTGAATAATTAGGTTATTGTATTAACTACTTTAATTATATCACAGGCAGAGGGGAGGAATTGTTTACTGTATGTGGGAGTGTCGTACTGTTAATTACTGTTTTGATTGGTTTTCATCCCTTGTGTCCCTGTCCTCTATCAGGTCCAGTGGGAGTACCTTCAATCTGTGCCATTAAACTTTCTGTTCCTGTTTGACCCTCAATACATAGTCTTGTCTCGTGATTGGAGGGAAACTGCTATAATCACACTGGGGATTGCTATACTTTGTATACTCACCTGTTTTCTAATCACTTAGCTCTTTTAAGAGCTGTTCCTGTTACGCTCTCCTGGAGGAGAGGTCTCTCCCACATGGTCCTGGATGTCAGAGGTTGATCCAGGGTGGAAGGAAGACGGCGAGATTCCAGTTAAGTTACGGCGGTTGTGGAGTCTGCGGTAGTTGTGGTGTCTGGTGCGGTGCTTATAGTCCTCTGCATCAGCTAGGAAGCATCCATTGATGGAGGTGCCCAGTTGGGGTGCCAGGTGATCCGTTACAGATAAGTTTTGACTGGGCCGCAAGTATCCTTTGGCGTTGAGTTCCAGAGCGCTGGGTAGAAAGTTCGAGTCACTTTTGATGACTGCATACAAAGCCAGTACATGGAGCTTCCTCAAGTCCTGGGTGTCTTCCAGTGCCTCGCCACCTACTGATTACCCCTCCAAAAAGCGCCTTGTTTGGTCCTGAAGCTGAGAGCTACCTCAATGAAGTTTGACCAGATCGTGGTGATCTGATCTAGAGTTACAGGAGATTTCAAGGTAGCTCCCAATCACACACGCTGTGCCTATGGCGGTTCCCCATAGGTCCTTGGGGCTCTCTGGATTGCTAATTAGGTGTTCTAGCTAGGAGGCACAGTAGGAAAGGGATTCATCTGGGTTATTATAGTCCTCTCAGGAGAAGGTGGTGGCTGGGAGATATGTACTAGTCCTTGGTGACCAGATGATTTGTCACACCTCTCCCCAGCAAACTCACCCCTGATTGTCCTGCTTTCCCTGTTAACCTGCATCTAGCTAATCCTCCCTCAACTAGCCTGCTCGTCTGCTAACTCACCCCTGGCTAACCTGCTCCCCAGCTAACCTGTCAAAATACACCACACAATCACACACAGTGACCCGCTATCCAAATACACCACACAAACACACACAGTGCCCCGCTATCTTAATATACCACACAATCACACACACTGATACACTATCCAAATACACCACACAATCACACACAGTGCCACTCTATCCAAAAACACCACACAATCACACACACCCTTGCTTGGTCTCTGGTTTATCCCTATATTTCTGGAGGGACGAGTCTTCCCTGGTCTCCCTCCCAAACTCCCCGGGAGTGACCCAAGCTAAGGGGTCTCTGGTTACAGTCAGGGTCCAGGTCTTTTGGGTTCTTACCTGGATCTCCTGGGCTGGTGAGCTGGTTCCTGCTGCTCTGGCTTGTAAACGGGTTGGAACTGGATATGCGGTAGCTGGTGCAGTGGGGAGGTACGCAGAGGTTAATGGTCTAAAGTCATTCCCCAACAATACTTCAGCGGGCAAATTATCCATAATCCCTACAGTCACAATGCTGGATCTGGCCCCCCAATCCAGGTGAGTAGTGAGGCGAAACACAGCTCCCCTAGCCACCCGTACAGTGACTGTGTGTTTAGAGCGCTCCTTTGGGTTGACTAAGTGTCGATGGACCAATGTTAGGGTAGCGCTAGTGTCTTGCAATCCTTGGGTCACTTGTCTATTTATTTGTACCTTCTGTCAGTGCTGCTGATGGTTGTCCAGGGAAGCAGCTTGTATGGGATCCGCCTCGTATAGGACTCCCAAATATTTCTCCAAACTGGCCTCAGTTTCCACACAGTGAGCATCCGGTGCACGGGGTGGTGCAGGATGGGCTACCGGTAGGGGACGTCTCCATTGTTGTGTGGAGGGCCCAAAAGGACAATTAGCAACAACATGCCCCAACTCGTGGCACCGATGGCATTTGATCTTGTATTGTTCCCTAGGATACTTAGGTGGCCCTTGGTAGTGAGAGGGGCCAGGGGGAACAGGAGCCCGGAATTCTGGGCAGGGAGAGGGAACAGGGGCCCAGAATTCATAGAATTCGTGTCTGCATACTCATCTGTAAGCGGGCAGTATCAGTCAAAGTGAGGGGTCATCGATTCCGAATCCACTCTTGTAGTTCAAGTTGTAGTGAGGTTAGGAAGGGTTCCAGGAGAAAGAGTTGTAGTACCTCCTCTCCTGTGCTAGCTTGACACCCGGTAATCCAATGGGAGGCAGTATGGTGTAGGCGGCATGCCCACTCCATATACGAATCTCCAACTTTCTTTTTAGAATCTCGAAATTGTCGGCAATATGCCTCAGGGTTGACA